AAATGATTATACACATTCAACCCTGTTAGGAAACTTTGACTGTTTCTGGACCTAATTAGAACTCTAACAAGGATTTACATTTTATTGGTTCAATATTTTCAAGCAAAATTTTCAGTCTCTATGGAATTTCTGTCAGAAATATAAAATTCAAACCAAAAATATTATGAGTTCCAAACAAATTTATCAATGGTTTTCTTTTCAGTTGTGAAAATCGACGGAACTGCGAGAAGTTTACTGAGTTAGCTCTAGACCTTCGAAACATTACAAAAAGAAAATAAAGAGAAAATATGCATACTAATAAGCCGATCTTTTTTACTTGATGATTTTCTACTGGAGGATGGTGGAAAAGAACTGGACTTGGAGAAAAGCTGAGTTTTGTAAGGGATAGAATGGTTGAGAACTTCATAGGAGTGGGTGTGGCTTTTCAACCACAATTTGGATATTTTAGAAGAGTGGTTTCAAAGGTTTTTGCAGTGATAACTATAATTGATGATATGTATGATGTTCACGGCAGTTTGGAAGAACTAAAGCTTTTCACAGAAGTGGTAAACAGCTAAACATGTTATCTTATGTATGTATAACTGTCTCAATATTTGTTACCATTTTATACCTTTTTTTATGACATAGATGGGATGTAAATGCCATTGATGAACTTCCAGACTACATGAAAATTTGTTTCCTTGCACTTAATAACTTTGTCAATGAAGTGGCTTTTGACTTCCTAAAAGAAAATGGACGCAACATCATTCTACACATTAAGAAAGTGGTATGCTTTGATCCAATTCATCGGTTGCATCTTTTCTTATTTTATACTATCTCCAGTCCTTAATATAATTTGGATGGATTAAGAAAATTAATTAAGTTAGTTATTAATAACAAATATGAGTTGATTTTTCTAAAATACCCTTTGTAATCATAATTACCTTTAAATAAAAACCCCTTAATATGTGTAATCAATAAGGATATTTTAGATAATAAATCATAAATTTGGGAGACAAAATGGATTGAAATTTTTTATTTAGGACCAATTCAAATCCCAATTATCTTTTATATTAATGACTAGAGGTAGCATAATATAAATAATTAGGATAATTAATATGTAAGTCCTTATAGTTTTAATTGATTTTTAATTAGTTCCCTATAGTTTTTTTTTAATTTGGTCCTTATAATTTTACATGTTTTTAATCAAGTCCTTATAATTCTTTTTCTTTTTTTTCAGCTCCTTGTTGTTTTACCTTATTTTTAATTAGGTCCTTGTAGATTTTATTATTTATTCTATAAATAATAAATTATTATAATAATCTTATGTTAATATTCTTTTAAATTTTTAGTTAAACATATGTATTATTTATTTTCCAATTCTAATTTTTATAATTATAAAATTCAAATTATAATAATAAAATTTTCTAAAATTAGAATATAATTATAAAATATTTATATTTTATTATAATTGATTACTATAATTAATTATTAATTACTAAATGATTATATTAATTATTTTGTATAAATGATTTATATTTAATTACAATTGATTATTTTAATTATTTATTAATAACAAATCATTCTATTAATTATTTTGTCCAATTATATAATTATTAATTTAAAAATGAAATTAATTTTCAAGAATAAATTTTATAAATAATTTTTTAAAAACTACAGAGGACCTAATTAAAAAATAAGTGAAACTATAAAGACATGGTAACAAGAAAAAAAAAAATGGAAGGGTCTAATTAAAAACACGTGAAAATAAAAGAACCTAATAAAATGAAAAAAAACTTTATAAGGACCTAATTAAAAATCAAATAAAACTATAAGATCTAGAGATTAATTATTCTTAAATAATTTTAATCATGGTATATTTTAATTGGGTTGAGGTGCAATTTTGCCATGGAAGTTTTCACATAGCTGTTTGTATCTGTGAGTTTTTGTTGAATCAATATTGCTTTGGAAGTATAAGAAAAGAGCAGTATTGCCCCTGATTGTCAAAAATATCAACCGTTAATGTTATTTTTTTTAGCGGGTGGAGCAATTTTGCTCCTTTTTAAATATTTTCGGGTGATATTGATCCAATAAAAACTTTCAGATACCCACATAACTTCTACATGTAAACTTCTGAGGAAAAATTAGACTTTAACCCTTGCTAATTTTATATATAAATTATTGTGTTCAATTTTTTTCAGTGGGTTGATCCCTGTAAATCAGATCTAGTTGAGGCAACGTGGTACCATAATGATTATAAACCCAGCTTTCTTGAGTACATAGAAAATACATGGATCTCAAGTAGTGGACCAGTCGTACTTTTTTATGCTTATTTCTACTTCCTAGTTCTACCAATAAGCAGGATTCGATTCGGTTTGAAGAATATTCTAATGTTATTTGCTATGTATTAACCATTTTTCGCCTCGTCAATGATTTGGGAATAGCAAAGGTATCATGACACAGTCTTTTCATATTTAATTAACCAATATATATATATTCGATGAAATATGGTACTTAGTTTCTACGAATCTTTACCCCCCGCTTGGATGAGAAGAAAAGTTGGGAGGAAAGAAAATGAAGAGAAGAGAAAACTGAAAAGAAAATATTATCACTCTTCCTGCTTGGATAAGTGAGAGAAAATAGAGAGGAAAGAAAATATATAAATATCAGAATGACTAAAATGTCCTTATTATAATTAATTGGCAAGGAAACTAAATAATTTAGCAAAAAAATTATTTTTATGTAAAAATAAAAAGAAAATAATTTTTGAACTTAATTAAAATAAAAGGAAATAAATAACTTATACATTATGATATTTTAATAAAATGATAATGAACTCATTAGCATAATGCCCATCTCATTATTCTACCTCACCCAATCATATTTGTAGTTTTAGTATCTCTATCAAAACTGCCCACAAGAAGAAAACAAAAGACAAAACATATATTATTATCTACTAAAACGCGAATGCTTTGAATTAGTATTGTCAAAACGCATACCATTCTCCCACACACATGCACATATATGTATATAAAACATTGGGGTTAATCATAATCACATGCGTGCGCGCGTTTCTAAACTTTCCGCAACTAGATTCTAAGATTGAATATTCAATATGATTAAAATCTAATCAAAACCTGGTGACCAATGTTTGGCGGGAGAGGGTAGTGAGGGAATGATCTGAAACGATGAAAATCTCTCCACTTGTGGAGAGAAATTTTGAGAGGAAAATAGGGCATGGGGCCCACCACATTTTTCCTCCCACTTTTCTTTCCTCTCCTATTTTTTTCCATCCAAGCAAAGGAAAAGTTCATGCCTCTCCCATTTTCCACTCCACTTTTCCTTCCTCTCCCATTTTCACTCAATCCAAGCAGAGCATTAATCTTGCAGCGGGAAAAGGTGACTGGAGACATACCCAAATCAGTTGAGTGTTATATGAATGAAACTGGGGCTTCTGAAGCTAAAGCTCGTAGGCAGATAAATTCCTTGATATGTGAAACTTGGAAGGAGATGAATAAAGAAGTTAGCAATTCCTCTTGTTCAGGGAGTTTCATGGAAGTTGCTGTGAACCTTGTAAGGATGTGCATGTGCGAGTACCAACATGGAGATAGCCATATTGTTCAAGACGATGAAACCAAGAAACGTATAATATCATTGTTTTGCCAGCCTATTGCTTGAATTTATACAATGAATCTATTTTTAATTTTTCTTATGGGTGTATTTGCAAGAGTTTGTCAAACATTTTCAAATGGGTTGTTTGGTAATCAATCTGTATGTCCTTGATATGAATAACGTTTTTTAAATAGTTAACATGAAGTCTTGATTTTTTAATATAGAAGGATTTTAATTTGTTATATCATGACTGAGGAAAGTATTCCAATTTATGCAACTTGAAATGCACCCCAGTAAGTTTTCATATTGATGTTGATGTGAATTAAGATAATCTATGATTTCCTTATATGAAGAAGGTTTGTACTCGTTTATATGATACGCTAGTGAATTGTTCTTGTGTTAATCAATTGACGAAGAATTACAACAATAACTACTAGAGCACAACTAGTAATCTAATAATGAAGCATGTGAATTATATATGGAGGAGGAGGATCTGCGAAAGTGGTTGGTATGTAGCATATGGTTGATAAATCCCTTTTTTATTATTATTATATGCTCATAGTTTAAGTGGGGCGTAAGCCATAGGAAGGAATTCATGAGGGGGCATTGTTGGAATTAACTCCCATCCACTTGCGCTTTATTTTCTTTTATTTTAATTTTTTTTAATAACTGCTTGTATTTTTTTTTTTAAGAAGCAATCTTATTTGAAATGCTGTCAAACCTTAATATGGATAACTTTGACCCAATTATTTTATTTTATTTTATTGGAACACGGAACACAGGGGGCCAATCAATTTCTTTTCCATTTATCATATCGGCTTGATTAGGTGTCATATATCTGGGCTAGGTATCATTTGGGTTTTGGGCTACACCTTAGGCCCATTTAACGACCTCACGAGACCCAACTCCCAATCCATTTACCCAAATTCCACCACACTTCAGCTGCCACTTCTAACTCATTTGAAGCGCTAGGCAGCCCACTCAATTCATTGCTTTGCTTAGGAATTTTACTTTCTACTTGTTCTAGTTTTAGGGGGTGTTTAGATATCCTAAAAAGTGCTTCTCAGAAACACTTTTCTGCAAATCGAGATAAACTCATCCACATATTTACTTCGTAAACCGTAAAATCACTTCTGAAACCATGATTTGGTTTTCATCCAAGCACCCCCTTAACTAGAAACCAAACCATGGTTTCAGAAGTGATTTTACGGTCTACGAGGTAAATATGTGAAGGAATTATCTCGATTTACGGAAAAATACTTCTGAGAAGCACTTTTCAGGGTATCCAAACACCCCTTTAGGAATTCTATTTCTTCCCTAAATCCATATTTGTTTTCAGCCACCAGATCCTCACATTGGGATTAACTAAACAGCCCCATAATAAAGTTAGCTGAGTCATGCAAAATAAATAGCAAAAGATGTAGAAAACTGATTAATATTCCATCCATTTCGTCTTATGGGCTTAGTTGTAAAACTATTTTGCTCATGAACATGGAATTATCAACATATCAAAAAGTGTGTGTATATATATATCTACACAGCTCTACAAGGTCCATTCAATTTTTTTTTTTTTAAAAAAAAAAAACTATCTACGTGAATTCCACTTCTCTACTGCCACCACAAGCAATTCTTAATTCCTTGAGCAGAGACTCTTGAGGCTGCAATCCAGCTGCCTTCATCTGATACAAAAGCTTAATAGCCTCAATGTACAACCCATTTTGCATGTACCCCATAAGCATAGCATTCCAGCAAGCCTCGTTTGCCCTATTATGAATCATCTCAAACACAAGTTTTGCTTCTCTCACTAACCCACATCTTCCATACATGTCTATCAGCCCACACTCCACATAAGTATCTGACGCAAGTCCAAGCTTAATAGCATTAGCATGGACTTGCTCACCACAGTGGCCATGGCTTGGCATTCTTCCACATGCTTTAAGAACACTAGAAACTGTGAAACTGTTCTTCCTTATTCCTCTCCTTCCCATCTCCTTGAAGTCATTGAGAACCTCATAGAAATGCATTTCTCTGCAATCATTTACAATTTTTGCTGTCCAAGTGAAGGTGTTATGTCTAGCTACCTTGTTAAAGGCGATATTTGCGTCTTCTAGGCAATTGAACTTCCCATAGAATCTAATCAATGCGCAAGTGAGAAGTACATCGTTACTAATGTCCAACTTGACTAAGCACCCATGAACTTGTTTTCCCAGATCGAGATTGATACTGTACGAACATGCCTTGAGAAGACAAACCAAGATCCAATTGGGCAGCTCCAAAATACTCACTTGGTCAAGCATGTTGAGAAACAAACCTATGGCTTCCTCGTAATTTGCATTATCAAAATAAGCAACAAGTAATATAGCCCACGAGTTGATATCCCTCACAGACATTTTATCAAACAGGTGGTGTGCACGCTCCACTAAGCCACATGACGCAAACAAGAGAAGGAGCCGATTGAGGAAGCTTAACGGAGGATCAATGCCGCTTTGTTTTATATGGACATATAGTTCCATGGCTGCATGAGGGTCCCCAGAAACAGTACACTCTTCTATCAAAGAGACGTACATGTCAATGGGTATAGAGAAGCCAAGACCATCCATCAATCGCAAAACATCAGATACCGTGCTCTGAGCAGGGATAAATCCTTTTTTCTCGTTTTTCTTCTTCTGCAAACTAAATCCATTCGCATGATTGGTTTGGGGACGAAGGAGTTTGACGGGTTGTGGTGAAGTTGGAGGCAGATTTTGCGCGGGACGATGGAACTGAAGTTGAAAAGGGTGGTTGTTTAACTGAGGAGTAACAAACTCAGTGCAGGGTGATTTTGAGGGAAGAGAAACCATTTTCGAATAGTTAAAGTTCAATTTCGTGACTTGACGCAGTTGAAATCTTCGGTTTCAATTTCATACCCGCTAATCTTTGATTTTGTAACCGAAAAGAGAGCAATACCGACGATGTCCGAACCACAGTATCGAGGTGAGACCCGGGAGTCTGGAAGATTAAGAGAGACAGAGTATGAGACTGGGAGATCGAAGACGGTGTCCTAGCGATTTGTGAAAGCTGAGAGAGATTGGGCGAGAAGAGTGAGAAGGCCAAAGAGGAAACGGCCTGCAAGGCTCCGATATAAAATGCGATGGTAAATCAGCTTGTCCGTAAAATGAGTTGCGTTCAAATTAGCCACGACAAAACTGATTTTTATTTTAATTAATTTTTATAAATTTAAATTAAAATAAATGTTAATTAGTATATTGTGATTTATGTTTGAATTGTTGTTTATAAAAAGTCAGTTGAAAAAATTAAAATTTGTTTAAATGATTAATAGAAAAGTAAGTTTAGTTGTAAAACTAACTTTTATTCTAATTGATTTTTGCAAATTTGAAGTAGAGTAAAAGCCAGTTAGTATAATATAATTTATGTTTGGATTATTGTTTATAAAAAATTAGTTGAAAAAGTTAAAACTTGTTTGGATTATTAATAGATAAATAAGTTTAATTGTAAACTAGTGTTTGATATTATATGTTTTTACTGTAAAAATAGTTTTAAAAAAATCTAAAATTACTTTAATAAAATAAAAATAGTTTTTTGCTGAACTTATAAAATAAAAATATTTGTTAGAGAAAATTTTTGAAAAAACGTTGTAGATAATTAAATATATATAATGGACAAACATGAATATAAATTAAAACACATTAATATGTTCATTTTTGAAATAAATGAAATTACATAACTAATTAGATTATAAGCTTTGTACAATTTGGTCTCTGATTGAGTTACAAATACAATTCATTTGTGTGACAGATGTTAACTTAACAAGGACGCTTCACCAGCTACATAATTATTGTCTTCATCTATTACACTTTCATGTTCAGCTTGCATAAAGTGGTCTCAGTTGGAGAATTTTGCCTGATAAAATTATGCACAGCCATTGTTGGACAAACCATACAGACTTGTGTTTGAAACTTGAATTTGGGCATATCTCTTAAGATTGCAAACCTACTCTTCCAAATCCCAAAAGTTCTTTTCAATAATGCATCTCAAACTTGAATGATAATAATTGAAGGCCTCATTCTTATTTCTAAATCCTGATTGACAATTAAAGTCTGGAAGGTGATAGCACTCACATCTGTGGAGGTGAAGGTATCCTATTTGTTGGATATGTTAGTGGCAGTCTCACCCAAGAGGGGTGAATTGGGTGAGTTATAAAAATCTTGCGAATTTAAAAGAATAAGCTAACGGAAACAGAGTGTTAGTTAGAGAGATTTCACCGTAGAAAGAGGACACAGAATTTATACTGGTTCAATCTCAACCACTTAACCTACGTCCAGTCCTCAGAACACCTTTGAGTATTCCACTATGTTCCAAGATTAATCGGGCTCTTGGTGCCGCAGTACAACAATTGATTTGCTCAATCACTCCCCCTTACTACCCGTAAGGTTACCATCCCACTCAAGAGTCCACACTCTTGAGTTTCACACAAAACGTGATTTACGATGATGGATACATACTCTCTCACAGAGTAATTAAATGAGAAACACTGAAGCTCGGTATATGCTACAACAAAGTATTGAATGTAACAGTAATCAATTAGCAAAAGGTAGCTCACGTATTCAATCTATTCATTTAATGCTTCTTCGCGCCTTTTATAGTTGAGGTAGTTTAATAACCGTTAGACAGAAGAGCTTTTAGCCGTTGAGAGTTCGGTTGCATATTTTTCCAGTTGCAATGGTTTTCGCCATTAATGCTTCTAACAAGGTAGGTTACAGGCTACTTAAACAACTGTTGAAGAGCTGTTGAGTTCTTCTTCGTAATCTGCAATAGTACTTTAATTCAATAAGTTTCTCTGTGTAAAGTAAGACTTAGATCAGACCGAACAAGTGATAAGATGAATATTCATAGTTTAAAAGTAGAATCAATCAGTTGCTAAATGTTTTGAACAATAACTGGACATCCTTGATCGAAATAATGATCGATGACAGGTTGATCGATAAAGTTATCGATTATTCAGAGTGAGAATTTTGACACAGGTAACTATGTTTATCGATCAAGTGATGAATTATTGATTTATCGATCAAGTGATCAATAAAAGGAAACAGTGACTTTATAAAGTTATGCAGAGAAAAGGAAGCTCAAGGTCTCTTTTGATTCTGAATTTCTTTAAATAGAGAATTAAGGCAACCATAAAAGCTGAGAAAAGCTTGAATGAAATAGATAACATATTTTGAGAATCATCACAACTAATTGAAGTTACTAAGATCAGTCCATGATCGAACAAGTGATCGAACACTTGTTGATCGATCAGGCTATCGATAAACAGAATGATATGGAAATAGATTTTCAAGGAATAATGATCGAACACTTTATCAATAAATGGATGATGGATAAACTTGTCAATGAACGATAAAAAAAAAAAATACTCAGTGAAACCACAGATTGTATAAATTATCGAATAGATGATCGATTACAGAATGATCGATCAAGTGATCGATAAAATAGAACAAAGAGATTTAGTCCTGTAAAGACAAGGAACTGATTTATCAATCACGTTATGTAAAAAAAAAAAAAGAACATACATGTAAACGGGTGATCGATCATATTGTCGATAATTGAATTATCGATCAGGTGATCAAAAAGCCATGATTTAAAGATAAGATATCGATGATCGATCATTTGATCGATAATTCACTGATCGATCAAGTGATCGATAAGCCACTAAGATAATAGCCTGCATATAGAGTGGGTTATAAAGCAATATTCGATCACGTTATCGAAAAATCACTGATCGATATAAAGTGATTGATAAATGGTGATTAAGACAAAACATAAAGTGAATAGAGTGCTTTACCATTTATCTGTCTGCTCATCGATAACCCATTTATCGATTATGTGATCGATAATTCCTTACCAGACTTATGTCCCATTATATCCGATAGTTATTCGATCATTTGATTATTGATCAATTGATCAATAATTTTCTACAAATTTTTACACATAACTGAGTTAATAATGATTGATCAATTGATCGATCAACGCATTATCTATCAAGTTATCGATCAATGTTTCTGCTAAGTTACTTGTTTGTACAGAGATATTATCTATCAAGTTATCAATAAAATCTTTGATCGATCAACATACTAAAACACATATTCTATAATTTGTTATCATCAAAACCATAATCCTAATAGGATAACTAGCATCAACCAAATAATATTTGCCTAAGAAATCATGAAATTATTATGCTGATGTGAAAATAATGAAATTGAAAAGTGATTTAAAAATAATTTATTTGAAATTTAAAGAAATATGCCTTGAGGTAAATGAGGGAAATTCATGGATGGAGTTAAGATAGTAGAATGAAACACACGAGCATCATGTGCACTACTTTCCCACCCCGCCAACGTGAAAGTGAAGCACATATCCTTATCACATACCGCAATGACATTTTGACTTGGAAATCCCTTTCTCCCAATATTTTTCTTGCATAGTATAACTAACCTTACAGTTTATGTGGCCTAGATGCCATTAATGCTTCTATTACATCTTGAAAAAATGGAAAGTATCATGAATCATTTGCTATTTTTGGGTGACAATAAGAAAACGTAGGATTGCGTGACTTGATATTTTCACGAGATAAATTGAGGCAAGCATCCAACACTCTATAAAATTGTCAACTGACATTTTCTCCTGAATACTAAAACCTTTCTTGTATCATCCTGTTGCACTAGGCATGTGCAATTGTATTCAAGAACATGGCAACAGATTCATAGACACCTATGTACTTAGAATTTTGTAACCCATGTTCAACCAATTTAGAGCATAACCAGTGGAATGTCTCTGTTTCCATTTGAAACATATCCTTAGACCGTCCTTCATGTTTGTGCAAAAGTTTTTGTACCTATAAGTGACCTGTTTGTTCACTAGTTCTACATAGCTATTCACACACAAAAGGTGTCATATACTGACCCATTAATACACTTAACTCTGATAATTGTGTTGGGTGTTCATGTAAAGTAGAAAGTAATTAAGACCATTTATCTTTATTATTGAATCTTGCATTATCTCATCCCTTGTCCAAATCCTCCATTGAATCAGACATGAATTATATAACCTATAAGTGGTTAAATACTAAGTGTGAGTATTTGAAATGAGAAATAAGTATTATTTTCACACAAAAAAAGATAATACACAAATAGTCATTAACTTTAACGTAGTCATTAAACACACATAGTCATTATAGAATGTGTATGTGCAAGAGTTTTGTCACGGATAGAATAACACTCTTATTATTTAAGTCAGATCTATTATATATTTCTGTTAGATGTTAACTATAGTTAATTATGTACAAAGTGTATAAATATTACTCTCATGTGAAAATGCAAGCAATCATTTTCCCAGATTATTTTCATATCATGGTATCAGAGCTCTTTGAACTTTTTTTTTCTAGTAAAGTGTAATTTGTATTTCTAGGCATTTAAAAATGTCATCATAGTTATTAACTTTAACGTAGTCATTAAACACACATAGTCATTATAGAATGTGTATGTGCAAGAGTTTTGTCACGAATAGAATAACACACTTGTTATTTAAACCAGATTTGTTATATATTTTTGTTAGATGTTAACTATAGTTAATTATGTACAAAGTGTATAAATATTACTCTCATGTGAAAATGCAAGTAATCATTTTTCCATATTATTTTCATATCATGGTATCAGAGCCCTCTGAACTTTTTTTCTAGTAAAGTGTAATTTGTATTTCTAGACATTTAAAAATGTCACCACATCCAATATAGCCAGTCTGCTACTGGAATATAAATGGCTCATGCCAAAGGAACAAGTGGAAAAACAAAACGTAAGCCATGTAAGATCCTTTATTTGAACTAAAAACAAAGATTTCCGTCCGTCCTCGTAGTCCTTCTCACCATGCGCAAGTCCACTTCAGGTCAATCCTTAGTCGTGGCTACGCGACCGGCCCTACAACCCCTGAACCTCCTTAGCCTTGCCTGGCCGTCATTGACGAACATCATAATCATGCGCATAACAAAAAATATCAACACAGATAGGAGAAACAGCA